GATGCAGTGGGATTTTTTACAAGCTCTCCTCTTCAAAATGGGTTTCAATTCAGTGTAGATCAAGTGTATTATGGAGACTGTCAGTACTATTTCATTCTCTATCGAGCTGCTTTTATCCCTCAAAGGCGACTTCGTCAGGGAAACCCACTCTCACGTTACCTCTTCACTTTGGTGGCTGATGTTCTTTCACGATTGCATCTACGGTTATCAGTCAGATGGTATCAGGCTCGAGAAGGGTTGTCCTATTTTATCCCATCTTTTCTTCGCCGACGATGTTCTCTTATTCTCTAGTGCTAATGTATCCCATTACCATAAGTTGAAGAAGGAGTGCTTGGATGAGTATTGCCATGCTTCTGGTCAATTGAGCAGTTATGACAAATCAAGCATCACCTTTTCAGCCAATACTCCTTAGCATGTCCAACATGAAGTTTGTTCGGTGTTCGGTATGCGGTATCTCCCCGATGGTGAACGAAGCAAAATACTTACGAGTGCCCTCCTTTTAGGGAAGATCGAAGATAGAGGCTTATGGATATTTGATTGAACGAGTAGTCCAGAAGATGCAAGGTTGGAAGCAACATCTGTTATCTCAAGTGGGGCGTGAAACTCTCAAGCGATCCCCGCGTATGCCATGGCTTGTTTTGCTTTCGCCAAAAAATTCTGTGACCAATTCAATCCGTACATTAACACCTTTTAGTGGGGAGGGGATCCTGAGTATAGGGGCATTAATTGGATCAAGTGGGCTAGTCTTTCGGTTGCCAAGGCTCAGAGGAGAATGGGTTTCCGTGAGTTCAAGGCTTTTAACTTAACACTCTTGGCTCGACAAGCTTGGAGAATCCTGAAATCTCCTAATTCCTACTGCTCCAAGATCTTGAAAGGAGTCTATTTTCCCCAGACTGATTTTATGCATGCAGTTAAGGGGTGGAAGGCATCATGGGCTTGGGCAAGCTTGCTTCAAGGCAGAGATTTACTCAGAAAAGGCACTCGTTCGCAGGTGGGTAATGGGGCATCCATCAACTTTTGGGAGGATGGGTGGGTCCCTAGCAACCCAAATTTTAAAATTCAGAGCCCTAGACCTAGGAATTGTTGAATCTCTTTGGTTAAAGATGTCATCTCCCACAGTAACAAAAGCTGGAACAGAAACAAGCTTAGTGGCATTGTGAGTGCTGCTGATGAGGCCAACATTCTGCCTATTCCAACTTCTTGTTGTGAAGAGAAAGCGAATTCTCTAATTTGGCATTACACATCGAAAGGAACCTACGAGGTGCGTAGTGGCTACCATGAACTTTCAGTGGCCTCCTCTTCCTTTTCTCCACCTGAGAAATTGTGGAAACTAATTTGGTCTCTCAAAATACCTCCCATGGTGCGTCACTTTTGATGGAGGGTGTATCGAAACAAGTTGGCCACAAAGGAGAATCTATTCAAAAGGAGGTGTGCACTATCAAGCCAGTGTCTAGCATGTGGGAACCCTGTCGAATCAATTGAACACATTCTTTTCCAATGCCCATGGACTCTTATTGTCACGACCCGAACCCGCCCCCATGGGTTAAGGACGTAACCGACCAGTAATCCTCAGATTACCTACGGCCTCAAACCAAAACAGACTTAACACATTAGAGTAAAGGGGGCCAAAAGGGAAGCCAAATTTTTAAAACTTTGTCCATAGAGCTGTGCTTACATGGCACATCAAAACAAACCATACACATGTACGTTAATAACTCACAACAGAAACATAGTGACATAGGTTCTGTACAGACAGGATCATCCAAAACTAAGTCAACCCATAAAAACTATAAGCAGACATATACAAAACTTCGCCATCCTGACAAAATGTAAATACATAACAAAAAGGCGAAGACGGGTTTCATGCGTGAGACACAAGGGATGACTCTCTCAAAACCTTAGTTGTTCCAAGCAGACTTCACTGGGGCTAGGTTTGTGCTTCTCTTGGCTCACCTACAAGACACATGAATGCGCGTGAGCGATAGCCCAGTGAATAATATCAAATATGACAGTTACATAACGATGTGTAGAACAACATGCTCCCAACGGCCTTGGGCCCAATACATACTTCTATTTAACAAATATATATATAACTATACGAAATTCAAATCAAGTAACTGTAGTTCCAAACATTCTGGCCTTTGGCCCATTCGGATTTCCATTCATGGCAAAACGGCCTTCGGCCCATTCATTCATGTCGAAACAGCCTTTGGCCCACTCGTTCATGTCAAAACGGCCTTCGGCCCACTCACATGTGTCAAAACGACCTTTGGTCCATTCATTTATATCAGGACGACCTTTGGTCCATTCGTTCACATCAAAACGACCTTCGGTCCATTCATTTCTATCAAAACGACATTTGGTCCATTTATTCATTCATGTCAGACCTTTGTCCACAATCCCAATTAGCAACTTATAAAGCTCATAAGGGAATACACAATTGGACATTCACAATCATTCAAATATCGATATTACTCACAGTGATCGGCTTGTGGATTTGCCCTGGAGCTTGACCCTACACGTTTCATGAACACAAAAGGGTCATTAACAGTTCAATCCGTTCTTTAATTCACATACTCCTCTTTAGGCTTTATTATTATCTCATTAACTCATTTACAATGCTTAACATATGCCTAAGAGTGCTTGCAAGTGAAAGAGAACGGAAAACAGAACACAAAATGCAAAAACAGGATTTCAGAAAATAGGGTCCCCGCTCGAGCGTGGACTTCCCGCCTCGAGGCGGACCCTTAGGGTCTGCGAAGTACTGGTTGCCTTTCAATTCCAGCTCGAGCGTGAAACTCGGCCGCTCGAGCGGAGCTGCCTGTTCTACATAGCTCCCCGCCCGAGCGTCAACTTCCCGCTCGAGCGGGAACCATGGTTTTGCAGAAAATGCTGGGAGCGTCGATTTTCTCCGCTCGAGCGGCACTTCACCGCTCGAGTGGACATCGAAAATCTGGGT